TCAGGTTCACCCTGCGCTGGTCCCCCGAGGCCGAGGACGACGTCTGCGAGCTCGCCGTGGGCCAGCACGGCGGCCTGCAGCTCTGCGGCTTCAACGCCACCGCCAAGACCTTCTTCATCATCCACGGCTGGACGGGGAGTTCGGAGGAGCCGCTGAGCTGCGCTGTCCGTGCGGAGCATCCCGGGCGCGCGGGGCGGCCTTCCCGTTGCGAGTGCTGCAGCATCGCTCCTGCTTAAAATGCTGGGAAATCACCCTGTTCGTTTGCAGCCTTTCAGGATGCCTTTGTGCCGCTAATATAAGCCTTCTAAATGTAACTTTTGCAGTTTTCCTGAAAACACAACTAACTGCTGTGATGATGCTTTACTTAACAACTCTCCAGCTCGTTGTAACCCCAGCCACGTGCACAGAGTCCTCACTCTTGCGGTGCAGGCTCCCCTCTAAAGAAACACAGGGTGGACAGTTTGTCTATCTCTCTTCTCCTGTGCCTTATGTAACGGCGTGTGGGGCATTAGTGGACTTATCGGCTCTGCCTGTGCTTATGCAAACTGAAGTGCCAGGCCTGGAAAATAATTTTGCAATGCTTCAGAAATCCTGAAACTCTCAAGGATGGGGCGATAAGGCTTGCAGGTAGCAGCACCTCTCCCTTTGCCCTTAAAAGGCAACAAAGCTACTTGCTCCCTGTCTGTCAAAACCTGTTTTTCTTACACCATTAGTGCAGTGTGAAGAAGCTTCAGAGAAGCGTATAGTAAAAGTGTAAGCTGCAAACGAACACCCGAGGGCAGCCCTGTAGATGTACAGCAACGGGGCAAATTAACGCTTGGGTCTCTCCACAGATGAGCGGCATGTTTGAAACGTGGCTGGGCAGCCTGGTCTCGGCCCTCCGCGAGCGGGAGAAGGATGCCAACGTGGTGGTGGTGGACTGGCTGCCCCTTGCCCACCAGCTCTACACGGATGCTGTGAACAACACGCAGGTGGTGGGGAAAAGCATAGCCCAACTGCTGAACTGGTTGCAGGTAAAATCTGCCTCCAGTGCAATGGGCAATGAAAGCGGTTGCACAAGGGAGCAGAACATGCGCCACCCCTAATGCAAAGGCATAGGTGTAATCCTAAACCCCGAGGCCTCGGGCCTCCCTGGCTAAGGGAGGGGAGGAGATCAGTCTCTTGCATCTCCTCAGCTTGGCTTGGGGGTGCCAGCGTGGGAGCTGGGCATTCGGTGTTGGCATCCCTTTGGTGAGAGGGGTGGAATATCCTAGTTGGGGTTGAAAGCTGGATGCTACAACTGAGCAAAAAAAAGTGCCATGCAAACAGGCATTATTCATGTGTCTTGAGAAAACATGCAGGGAGAGAAAAAAAAAAAAAAAGAAAGAGGGAAAAAAAAAAAGCAACATGTCTCCTGTTCCCTCCTATCTAGTCCTAGAACAGAACCTCAGAGTCCTGGAGATAGGAGCTGGGCAGATGTTCTAAAAACATCTATTTGTTTTTCCTTACAGGAGAACCCACTCTTCCAACTTCAAAATGTTCATTTGATTGGATACAGCCTTGGGGCCCATGTTGCTGGCTTTGCTGGCAATCATGTCCAGGGGACAATAGGCAGAATTACAGGTAAGTGGTTTTTTTTAGTGGTCTCCTGCCTTTTAGCAGAGTTGTCCTGCTGAGATGTTTTCCAAGGAGACTTGTTTCCAGCATCCTTGTGTCACGGCATTCTTGCTCTCCACGTGAGAGCAGATATCCTTGAGGTAGGATACCAAATCTGAGGACAACCTAGTCTTAAGTAGGTTTGGATGCTAATGCAAAAGTCTTCCCACCAAGGTCTCATTTGAGGAAAACACTGTTTCCATATAACTCAGATTAATGGAAGTGATAGCTATTGAGTATAGTTTGTCCCATGGGGTGTTTGGCCAAAATCCTCTCTTTTATCAGAAGATATGTTGAGCAGAGTGCCTCAGATTCTGAAGATTCTGGAAAACGGTGACTGTTCCAATCACTTAGCTTTTTCTCTACCTAACTGCTAAGGTGCCCAATTTCAGGTCCTCAATCGGGCTGAGGTTAATTTAAAGGCAAAGCTCCATCGTGCTCTCAGAAGCAGGAACTCTACTCTGAAAGTAGACCAAACATCTTCTCCAAAGTGGCCCTGGCTGCTAGCAGTTTTCGCAGTGCTAGACTTCTAGTGTTCAGTCATCTGCCACCTTTGGAAGTGTCTCAGATGTGTTGCTTCCAGCACACAACCTGAAGCCACCACTTCAGAGACTGAGCAGAGCACTGCCAATACTGGGATGTGTTGCACATTTAGTGTCAGCAGGCACCATCCTTGTCTCCTTTAGTGAGTCCGCGGTGAAGACATGTGGGGATGGCACCCACAACGAGGCAGGGAATGTCTGTGTAGCGTGTGGGTATGGAGGGCTCCTAGCACCTGTTGTGGATGACATGACCCAAGTTCTTACTGGTGTCCTCTGTGCTGCCCCTAGGCTTGGATCCAGCTGGCCCCATGTTTGAAGGGGTGGACCCCAGCAAGCGCCTGTCCCCTGATGATGCTAGCTTCGTGGACGTCCTGCACACCTACACTCGGGAAACACTGGGCGTCAGCATTGGGATCCAGATGCCTGTGGGTCATGTTGACATCTACCCCAATGGGGGAGACTTCCAGCCTGGCTGCGGACTGAGCGACGTCTTAGGAGCAATTGCCTATGGGAGTAAGTTCTCGCTATGTGTTTTGCCTCTGGTCACTGTAGACTTCTTGTACATAGACCAGGGTTGGTGTTGGGGAATGATCCCATTTATGAGAGCAGAGAAAACTACTTTTCCTTCTAAACTGCCTGTTCTACTGGAGATAGCCGCTAGAAACTAGATCTGTTTTTAATTCTGAAGTAGCCTGTTTTCCTCCTAACACCTCATCAAAACCTCTGGCCTTCTCATGCTGGCTCTGGAATCCTCTTTAAAGCTGACTTCATGATAGAGACTAAGTGCTGAAGTGTCTTGCACTAACCCTTTTGAATTGCTACTGTTTGAAAAATGTCAAGTTTAGCCAAACTCGACTCCTGCTGGCTCCAAAAGGCTCAGCTCACTGTATCTTACGGCTGCTGAGATGACAAATGCTTAAACAAAATATATCCCTTGCAAATCCTAGCTATTGGAGAAGTTGTTAAATGTGAGCACGAGCGGTCTGTGCACCTCTTTGTGGACTCCCTTGTGAACCAAGATAAGCAAAGCTTTGCATTCCAATGTACTGATTCCGGTCGCTTCAAGAAGGGAATTTGCCTGAGCTGCCGGAAGAACCGCTGCAGTGGCATTGGCTACAATGCCAGGAAAACCAAGAACAAAAGAAACAGCAAGATGTACTTAAAGACAAGAGCTGACATGCCGTTCAAAGGTATGCTTTTCTCTTTTTTTTTTTTTTTTT